ACTCACATAGCATCACTCCACACACATACAATCGTGAGATGGTGGGGTCTGAGCCATACAGAGAGGATGCTCAGCCCCGTACACAACATACACAGGTGAATGGGGGAGGAGAGACGAAGGAGGTGGGGCGGGTAGACAGCACTGAAAGTCACCGGGATAGAAATCTGATAGGTCACCGATATGGTAGTCCAAAATGTCATCCCACAAGATCAAAATGTCGAGGACCATACGTCACCAATGTCGGAGATACAGAGTCCAAATGTAACCGGTGTCCGAACTGTGATGTCGCCAAGTATCCACCCCAACGATCTCCAAGTCTCCAATCCGGTAAGTACCACAGTCTCATATCACCGAAGTCCAACTCTGATCTCTGTCCAACTAGCATAAGTCTTCCATCTGAAGAAGAAGAAGAAGAAGAAGAAGAAGAAGAAGGAGAAGAAGAAAAGAGAGCCGAGGAGGAGAGGGAGAGAGAGGGGACTGGCGAGGGGAGGGAGGAGAGAAGCCTCCGACTCCCGGTACCTCAGGCGGCTATGGCCGCCSGTAACCCAGTCGCCGCTGCTGCTGCTCCGCTCCCTGCTGCTGCGCTAATGCTGCGCTGCCTGCTCCTCGCTCCTGCGCTAAACATAGCGCTCCAACGGCACTCTGGTGCCGACCTTACCGCACCGTATCGCATACCGGTGGGTCGATGCCTCGAAGTGAGGCCGGACCAGTACTAAGTACTGGTTCGAAGAGGACTGGCCTCACTGCTGCGAGGCCTTGGTTGGGGCTGAACCGTCCAGATCGACAATTCAGGTCCAACCGGAGAGTGGCAGCCTCAAATGGCGCCGTCAGGCCCAAAGACGAAATGTCATTTGGGCCTGGTCCGTAGTCGGGTCCAAGTCGTGGCCTTTCGGCCTGTTATCCCCCAAGGTCGGGCCTTTAGGCCCTGATGTGTCCCTCTAGCCCTAAGTTGGGTCCGGTAGGACCCGTGTGGCGTCGAAGATGTAACACCGAGCCAGGGTCTGGCGCTGCAGCTGTCGTGGGAACAGGCCCAAACTATCCTGTTCCTAAAACCCTGGTTTTGTGCCTGAGTTTCAGGGCAGGTCGGTCTGATAACAGACCGAAAATGGCCCTTCGTTTCAGGCTAAAAAGGCTACTGCCATTTTTAGTCTGAAACGACACAGGGTCTGTAGGCCCCTGTTTTTCAGGCTTTCGAGCTGAATGGACACGGGGCCTGTAGGCCCTGGTTTTCAGGCTTTCAGCCTGAGGGACGCAGGGCCTGGAAAATGGCCCTCGTGTGCGGGTGCAGCATGTAACAGTCTGGGAGCGTCTATGTAGGACTGGTCAGTCCGCACACCCCTTCTATCAGCGCAGCAAAGAGCGTCAATGGACAAAGCAGCATGGCCTGCGTGTACTAATACCCATGGGTTGGCATGGTGACCGTGACCCGTGCTTCGACCAGGGCCGTTCAGAGGCACCGCCCTCTCCTGCCAGATGCGCCACCGGGAAGAATGTTGTCTCTCAAGATAGAGCGCACACGACTCCTTTCCAAAAGAGAGGACACTCAAGTTGGACTCACTTCCTCAAGGTAAGAAGAGATTGAGAGGGTAGATAAGGAATGGGAACAACATACCTGGAGATAGCTGCCCCCAACCACAGATTTCTCACCAATTGGGCCGACGTGCATTTCGATGACCGGTCATTAGCCTCGGCACCACCCACAACGCAATGCCGTGCCACCTCAGGCAATATTCTACATCAGCATACTCTCATCCAATGCAGTGCCACCTCAGGCAAAATGCCACATCAGCATACTCTCATCATCGCATTCACCCGCTGTCGCCACAGCTCCCACGCTGTTGCCACAGCCTTCCAGCAGCCAGCCTCTCCACCTAGGCCCCGCTAATCAACCAGCGCCAAAGTATCCTTACTGCAAATGAAACATCGTCAGCGCACCAAGTCACAATGTCGCCGGTGTCAGGTAAGCGGCGATAACCAACCAGCTCTTATACCAAATTGCAAGGAATATGAGTGTGAGCGATATACATAAAACCAAGTTGCGAAATCACACAGCTGACCAAGTAGTCGTGTCCCAAGCAGAGAGTACAGATGCACCAAGAAAACCATCCATATAGGGCAATACAATGAAGTAATGAGCCAATGTTCAAGCCCGTAGGCCACACCAACACAGTATCCAAGGTCGCTCTCCTCTGTCTGGCGCTCAGCGCCCAGCCTACTCTATGAGACTATCCTACCTACAGCTGGTTCACGCAACAGGATCACTTCGACTCACGCAGACCAATGTACAGTCGCCAACACCATCGCCGACCTCTCTTCATGTACCAGGTACGTATCTCGCCACCCTCAATCAGACCCTGATTACCCCACACAGCGCCTCCTTCCCTGAAGACCACCTGATCATCCGCTGTACCCCCTGGCGCCCAGCAGCCCGGCTATGGCTGCCAGCGCCCCGCTGCCCTGCAGCGCCCGACTACACCTCTCGCGGCCCGTCAGCACCCTTGGCAGCAGTGCAGCATCAAGCGAGAGCGCAGCAGCACTTCCGCATTCCCAGCGCTGGCCAGAATGCCTGGCCAGGGCTGCCTCCTTCCTTTTGTGGAAGTGGCAGCCTCCTGGATGCCGCGTGTGGCGTGGCTGGAAGCTTCCAGTAGCTTCCGGTTGGGTCCCAGACCCTGCGCCCAGGCCCGAGACTACAGTTGAGGGCCTGGGCCCTTTGCAGTTAGCACGGCCTGAGTCTCCGGACTTGGGCTGTTTGCTGCATCTGTGCAGGGCTCCCAGGCAGGTGCGTTGGCACTACTGCTTTTGCAAAGGCCGAAGGCCTGTTTCCCAATGAATCGGCCCTGCTTCGTGTGTGTGTGCCCAGGCGCATGTCAAGGACTGGGCCAACAGTATGACGCAGCAATGTGAGGCTCACGCGTCTTTCCAACCAACTGGCGTGCTGCGAGAACCTGAATACCCACATATGGAAATGTTGAATTTCGCCTTTGACGAATATTCAGGCCCGCCTTCACTTAGGGCGGGCACTTGGTTTGCTGGGGGCCTAAGCCCAGAACAATGTGATGTCTGATAGGGCCCCTTGATGGTTGTTCCTCACACGGGGTGCCGACGACCCCCGACCGGTAGGTGCCGACCAGCCGATAGGTCGGCGGGTCGGCAGCCGATTAGTCAAGGGCCGCCGACCGTCGGGGGGTGCAACGATGCAGCTCATGACATTTCTTTTGTTTGATTGTTTATTTCTTTGTTCTTGTTGTCGTTGAAAGGATTTCACGCCTCAGTCAGCATCCCGAGTCCCGGTCCCAAAGTCCCCCACTCCCGTGGAAGTATTGATTTGGCACGTCGAGCAGCTGCAGTGCTGTACTTGGGTCCCGTAGGTCGTTAGAGTCCAGTAGGCCGGCTGAAAGTTTAGGGTTGTTCGAAGTCTGGTAGGCCCTGTACCCAACGAGAAGAGTCCCAAGTCCCTGTCTAAATTTGGCAGCAGCATCCTTGGAAAGTCCAGTGGGCTCTGGAACTTGCGAAAATCCCGACAAAGACCTGAACCTAGCCGCTATTTATAGAGCTGCAGTGTTGTTAAGAACTCACTTGTCAATTCCACTGTGGAAGCTCTGCTGAACGCTTATGTGACCAATGGTTGGACCAAGTCAGGGAGGTTGAGGAAAAAGCTGGTGCAACAGCGCCATAGATAGGGTTAGCTAAGGGGGAGACGACTACCATAGGTGATAGGGGAAGAGATAGAGTGAGGTGAATGCATCCAAGGAGCGAGTGTGAGTGATCCGAGGGAAGAGAGTGGGTGATACAAAACAGGAGAGCCAACGAGTGGGTGGGAGAGAGAGAGAGAGAGAGAGAGAGAGAGAGAGAGAGAGAGAGAGAGAGAGAGAGAGAGAGAGAGAGAGAGNGGGGAGAGAGAGAGAGAGAGAGAGAGAGAGAGAGAGAGAGAGAGAGAGAGAGAGAGAGAGAGAGAGAGAGAGAGAGAGGGTACATACCTGAGTGAGGATGATTTGTTGGCAACCATAGCCCCATGTATTCTGTACTCGGAACTTGAACAATTTGTGCTTGAGAAATATTATTTAGAGTCTTTCATCTGATACCTGTCTCGTTTTTCTGCTGTCGAGTGGTTTTGTGTGAGCATCGGTGGCATGCATGGGTGCAATTGGAGGTGAATAACGGTTGGTTTATTGTATTGTTTTCTGTGGTGTATGCCTTGACGATGACCAGAACATCAAGCGAAGCAACCCTTCTTCCAGCTCCTTGCACTCTTTATTTCTGATTGTGTTTACTTGTTTGTTCTTGTTGTTGTTGTCTCTGGTCGATGAATCATCCTTGCAGTCGCAAAATCACTCGAGAAATCTCTCATGTGGATCTGAGTTTCAGGGAACTGATGCTGAAATCCAGCAGTTCTGTTGGTTTGTCACTGCCTCCGCCTTCGTGGGAGCGTCCTGCTTCTCCCACATCCTTATCTGTTTCCCCAGTGCGGGACGATGCGACAAGCATCATCGAAAGTGTGAAGGGTTGTTTATCGTCCGACGGCCTTGCCAAGGAAACTGTGGCTGGCAGTGTCCTGCAAACGGGTGCCGAGGTTGTGAAAGATCTGTATGGCAGAGAACTCGACACGAGGAAACATACCATCAGCGTTCTCGGGCGCACTTCGGACCAGGTGCCCCATTCCTTTCCCATGCTACCATTTGTTGCATTAGGAGTCCCACAGAGTAGTCAGTTGCAAGGCGGCGGTGGCAGCCGTGACCCACATGGTGATGACGTGCGCACTGCTACGACAGAGCCATGGGGGGAAGGAAGGATAGAGAACGGTGGAGATGATGGATCGTCGTTGCATGGGAAAAAGCATGCCAAACTCAGAGAAGACAGTCGAGGGCAGCGGTGTAATGAAGTAGGAGGGAGGGCAGGAGAGGAGTTGCAGAGCTCATCAAGGGTGACGGGCGATCGGGACTCCGTACCATCGCAGAGCGGAGGACTGGAACCGAGTGTCCCTGACGTGTATGTTCTCTCGGGAGGCGACTATGAAAGAATGACTTCTCAAGGCATTAAATGGCTCCCACTGGCAGTCAGTGAGAAAGACTGCAGCATCTTGTTTCCAGGTGTCCGAATGCCATTAAATATCGAGCAGTTGTGCATGCGTCAGCTGGTGCGTTATTCCTTCTGCACCTGCTTTCCCCCGTCAGCTTCTCCCTTCTCCTTTCTCCTTTCTCCCTTCTTCCCCTTTCCTTGCCCTCCTCTCTCCTTCCTCTTTTTCCCCCGTCTCCTCGTGTCTGAAAGGATTTTCACACTGCACAGGTCCTGAGTTCCGGTCTCAGAGTCCCAGATGGTCCCAGGCCCAGTAGGTCCCTGTAGGTCGAGTACCAGGGTCGGTAGACTCCCTTGCCCTTCTCTCTGCTTCCTCACTTTCCCCTGTCTCCTCGTGTCCCTTTCCACTGGGGCTCAGCTAGGATTTCTCTGACCTGTGACTGGTTACACGTTTACTGTAGGGCATTTGCGTGTCTGTTTAATATTGTTTAATCAACTTTTATGTTTGTTCAACTTTGTGGTATATTTTTTGAAAAATAGAGATAAATTATATTATAGAACACATCTGGTTGACTCTGTGAATGGCATCATGCAGCTGTGGAAAGTATGTATGAGATTTGATAACTCGTTTTTTCATTTATAAGAATTTGGCTAGGAAGCTTTTCATGACCAGCCGGTCACCGGGGCGTGATGCCCGGGAGACCCGGTCATGGCAAAAAAAAAAAAAAAAATGGAAGTGGGGTTTTCCGCGCGCTTTCCGAGAGGAGCCCAAATCCGGGCTCTTTTCTTTTTTTGAGTGTTGGCTGTCAAGGGGGCGGAAAGGGTGGTGTAAATGAATTTTAAAGGGGCTAAAGGGGTTTAAAGCGGGGTGCCTAAGTGTGATATGTTTATTTAAACTTATTTTCTTTTTTTAGTTCTGTGACGAATTCTGATGTGACCCTCAGCCAAAAGTTGATTGGTGTGTTGAGGTAGTCAAAATCAATCAATGACTCTGACTCGTACACATCAACAAAGAGAACTCACAAAGGTAAACTTTATTAAGAGTACGAAATGAACAGTGAGAAACAAGCCCGGTGGGTATGGCTACCCGACCGGTTTCGGCCACCGCCACGTGGCCGTCTTCAGGGGGATTCCACCTCACGTCCGTTTGTTGACACCGCAGTCATCTCCGGAATGATTGCGGGTCGCTGACCGTCAGACCCAAAAAGAGGTAGAGCTCATCGTCCCCACCGTTCATATAGTCCTACAAGTCCATGGGTACCCCACAATTTCCCAAATTCAGGTCACGGTAACGATCCCATATAACACCCACTAAACTACAGGTAAAGTGGTACCAGTCCAATACCAGCCTGTAGAAAAGGGCCAAAGCCGGAAGGTTCGAGACTAACGGGACTGTAGTAGTCAAGGTCAGTGGTTCGAACCCTTCCGCCTAGATCACGAGACGACATCCTAAAACTTCGAGGGCCCCGAGGCCCGTTCTCCCAAAGATCAACGGATCCAGATATCAAAGATCCGGAGGCAAAACCCTGTGCTAACAATTAACTAATTATTTTCAGATTTTTTTGGATTTGATTTTTTTTTTTTTTTTTTTTTTACGCTGGGGCTGCCCGGGGCCATGCCCGGGGGCCATGCCCGGCCGGTCACCCGGTCGCCAATCCGGGCGTGACATCGGGGCCCCGGCGCCCGGGATATCTCCCTAGGAAATTGGACCACTTCTTGATTTATGTTTGTCATCCTTGCGCAGGGACCATGCTGATCTTTTCTGCATCGTTCCAATTTTAACGGATGTCCCGAAGGACACATGACTTCTATTTGTAGGTGTTATGCTGTTGATGATTCAAAATAGGTGGGAAACGTACGTACCATGGCTTGAACCACCACTGCCTCTCAAGGAAAAGAAATGGATTACTGAACTGCGGTGCTGGTGATGATTCAAATAGGTGGGAAACTTAGTACTATGGTTTGAACCACCGCTGCCCCGGAAGCAAAAGAAACCAGGAGCAGCTGTGGCAGTTTAAACCAGAAGCAGTAGTTGTTCAAACTGCCAATGCTTTTTCCGGGCCTGGATTACAGATCCGAATCAATATGGGTGTTACGATCCTGGCTATCTTGAAGTGTAACAACTCTAAGAAAGATAATGCGGTTTGCTTTTTTATTTTTATTTTTTCAAACCACCACTACTTTTCTCACTATGGCAGCTTTTCACGAAAGTAGGATACTTTCATTTACTTTGTGATATTCCCTGCCTTGGCGCAGGGCCAGCACCCGTTGGTGTGATTGTGAAGAAGATCGACATGAGGCAGAAAAAAAAAAAAAGGAAGTGACAGCTACGACATTAATAATGCCGTGGAAGGTCCTCACAGAGGGCCGGTCACACTTACCACAGTGCATGTGGCCACTATTACGGGAAGATTAATGTTTTTTTTTTTTTTTTTTCCCTCGTCTTCTTTTACCTTGTAGTACCCTGCCAGTGAGGCAGGGCGTAGTCCACGGGTGGCAGCAACACCCTCACTGCGGGCATACTCACACTAGTACTGGAGTGCAGTGTATCTGTCCGCGATCACGTCATAAGGGATGTTGTTTTTCCTTTTGGCTTCTTTTGTTGTCTCGGACAGACGGCCTCATTGAGGGCACAATCACACTAGCACTTCATAGAATGTATGTGACAGCTATCACAGCGTTACGGATGCTTTCTTTCTTTTTTTTTCTTATTCCCTTTTTTTTTTGTTCTTCTTTTTCTTAAGAAGTACCAGAAAAGAAAAACGAAATGGTGCCGTGCAAACGCCAGGCTCCGCAAAACTTGGAGCGCAGAGAAAGTCAGGGTCGGCAAAAACAGGCTCGGAGGTAGTGGTTGTTTAAACGAAAAAGAGGAAAAGACAATGCGGTTCAAATGCAACTGCAATGAAAGAGCTTGGAAAGAGAAATAGATAAAGGAAGAAGAAGAAGTAGTAGTAGTAGTAGAAGAAGAAGAAGAAGAAGAAGAAGAAGAAGAAGATGATGAGCACCAGGAAAGACCAATGTCAATCCCCCTTCATCTCGCTACCATCTCCTACCTCAAATTACTCGGTTTCGACAAGTTTTTGCCAGCTCCTGAATTCTTAGGAGACTGGGCCCTACAACGGCTGCGGTCGATAAATCTGATTGGAGGCCGTCGTTTCGTTCCGGCCTCCTGAAAGGTCGGAGGCCCACTATTTTCCAAACCGACAAAGGTACTAGTGCTTTAGCATAGCAATAATTACATAAAAACAAGTTATAGGCTCGCCACGGGCGATGCCGCGGCAGCCAGGGCGCTGGCATGTGACACAGACACAGAGAGAGAGAGAGAGAGAGAGAGAGAGAGAGAGAGAGAGAGAGAGAGAGAGAGAGAGAGCGAGTTTTCCAGCCATGCATAGAAGCTACTTCACTAGAACAT